GACTTCGAAATGCTCCGATGTGACCGAACGTCTCAACTAGCCTCCGATAAGGAATTCCGGCTCACTGTCTTCATGAGGTGCTGTCTCACCAAAGTGAGAGGATGAAAAATCCAACATCCGGGGTTTGGCAAAAACCGTGATTTCAAACCTTCAGAGGATAGGCTTACGATTCACACGAACCTACACCCTCCTGGTTGTGGGAGTGATCTCCGACTTGATTCGTTATCGAAATGCATTGGGTACCTTGAATGTTTTACCCCGTCCCAAGGGAGTGTAGTTCGATAAGTTGGACATTCCCAAATCTTTTACACCCTGCGACCAAAGTATTGCACACCCCTGGATCTCTGCATTACCTCCGCTCCCACATGCATCATTTTTAGAATCTAGACGGCAACTGAATGAATAACCGAAATACAAAATTTCATCAAATTATCTTTAATTTTAATGAAAACATGTCGAATGGAAACAAATTTTCACCGCGCAAAAGTATCGCACTCCTATGGACTTCACACGCCCAACAGGGGTTTTAAAACGGATGCGATAGACATCCCAAGTTTGTACTTCTCTATCGCACGTATTTCGGTCGAATGTAAACTCTGTTTTCTTAGTAAATACCGTTCGGTTGTGGCATGAAACATTTACATTCCACTCTCCTGTACAATCTTTGATGTACGGACTTTTGGTGAACATTCTAAGTACGCGTGATGTGACCTTTTTAATCATGCCAATGTCCGTTTCTTGATCTCTCTCTTCACAACCTTGTGAACCTTCGCATGAGATCAAGCGCACAGTTTGATCTGTTTTCGAACGATCCTGACCTATTTGTTGTCCGAGGAGGAGCCCGTCTGACCAGCTCCAATCATTGTATTATAAATATCTTGTCAAAATCTACTCAAAGAAGTATCATAGTGAGAACATCCAGCAAGAAGATTTTTCGTCGGCTCATTTGACGTCACTGCCTAGCGGACTGTCCATGGCGGTTTAATCTATCTCTCGAGATTCCATTCTTCGGCGTAATATCAAGGTTAGCTTTGAGATGAGTAAACATTTGACTCAGAAACAATAAACAAAGATAGATATTTCCAGCGGATGTTGAATCACTATTCAAAAATGTTTCGCTGCATGAGACTATCGGGATTATTTGTCAGATAACCGAAGAAAAAAATTGCAGATCGGGTTACTTAGCAAACAGATATTAAGAGTTCTACTCATATGCACGTAAAACGTTAAATTTTCTTTCCTTGAACAAAGATATCTGCTAATAGATGGGGTTGCCATGGCCAGTCCCTTGGGATAGATTCCTTCGGATACTCTTGGTCACCCGAGAAGAAAGGCTTAAAGAGGATATTTCAAAACTAGATCTATACTGTTGCTATGTTGATGGCATCTTCATCATAAGCAACGTCAAGGAAGACGGAGAAAACCTATTCCACCAATCCAGCACAACTCACTCAACATCCAGCTAACTCTTAACGACAACCACTTTGAGTTTTTAGATATAAACATTACTCCTTGATCTGATGTATCGATTATAAGATCCGTATTCCGAAAGAACACGTGGTCTCGGCACTGTTTGCACTTCACGAGCTTCGTCTCCGTGCGCTATGAAATTCGTCTTGTTCGCACACGATTTCATCCGGCGCGTGAAATATGCACAGAAGACTCCTCAAACGTTGAAAGTGTCCACTTAGAAGAGTTGCTACAAGCAAACGTACATCCAGTTGCATTAAGCAAAGTAGAAAAACCAGCAACTTCTCCCAAAATGAAAGTTTTTTCAAGGTTGTCATACCAAGCCGATGACGTGAGTCAGTTAGTCAGCAAGCGGTTTAATTCTGCCGTCAAGCTCATCTATTACGAGATTGACCCGGTCATTGTCTTCACTACCACCGGGATGTCAACGTCGTCGGTTAAAGAGCCCCCGTCGGCCAAATCAAACTGCATCTTCCAATTCAATTGTGGATGCTCGACGATCTGCATAGGTGAGACACAAAGGCAATTACG